GCCTGAATCCTCCTGTAGGTGACATCATCACCCAATTGTTTATGAATCTTGTGTCCTTCACTGAACTTCTAAGAAAAGGATTCTACATTGAGTAAAAAAATCTAATTTTCAGTGTGCTTAGAGGGGTCCATACACCTGCCGATTATCGTACGATAATCGCAGGTGATCCCGCGATCTTACGATAACTGGCAGGTGTCTGGCCAGTGTGCGACCGCATCTACTGTACGGTCGCACGACTTTCGTCTTCCTAGCACGCTCGAAAACCGGCCGAAAATCGATTTTCGGCTGGTTGGTAACGTGCCCGGAAGACGAAAGCCGCACAGTGCCCGCTCACCACTGCAATCATCGCAAGTACGATCTGCCTGTAGCCTGAATCCTCCTGTAGGTGACATCATCACCCAATTGTTTATGAATCTTGTGTCCTTCACTGAACTTCTAAGAAAAGGATTCTACATTGAGTAAAAAAATCTAATTTTCAGTGTGCTTAGAGGGGATTGGTGTCTATTTACCCGACGTGACCCGATCTTTTATATTTTACCAAAAAACTGGGTAATAATAAATGTTTCATAACATAATGTTAAAAAAAACTTTTTTTCCCCCAAATTTTCTGTAATTTTTCCTAATTATAGTAAAAAATAAAAACCCCAGTGGTGATTAAATACCACCGAAATAAAGCTCTATCTGTCCCCAAAAAATGGTATAAAATTCATTTCAGTACAGCGCTGCATGACGGAATAAACGTCAGTCAAAGTACCGCAGCGCTGAATACTGAAAAATGGCCTGGCCAGGAAGGGGGTCTAAACACCTGGTCTTGAAGTGGTTAAATTACTTTACAACCCTCGCAAGACGAAGGTCTTGCGAGGGTTGTAAAGTGTATGGCCACCTTCACTCTCAGACACCCGATTCCTGAAAGGGAGCGGGTGTCTGCAAAAGATAACTATACTGAGGCATCCATTAATGAACGGTAACCGCTGATTCTCATCGGTTACCAGCATTACAGAGCCCCAAATAGCTGACGTGAGCTGTCATTTGGGCACTTCGTGGCGGAACATACAGTGTACATCTCCCGTCGCAAAGGGGTTAATTGAACAAAAAACAAAACACAAGTTTTTGACAATTCCTTTATTTAAAAAAAAAAGAAAAAACAATGTCCCACAAAGTAATTCCAGCGTCAGCCGACAAATAAAAAAAGCCTTGCTGTTGCAATGTTTACATTAGGCAGTGGGCAGAAATAAACAAAGCCTGCTATTGGCTATTTTAAATTGCAATAGCCAACAGCAGGCTATCAGAGGGGGTGACACCAAAATGACTGACAGTCGGTCATGGGCCAAGAGCCCAATGGTTGCACGAGAGAGGAGGGGACAAGGTATGCCGCCGGGTATACGTCCCCTCCTCCCTTTGCATGTGACGTCATTGATGACGTCCCAGCGGGGTGTCACCCGGCTGCTCTGGGTGACACCATGGCTGGGTACACCCCCGAAGGTGACCACTGTGTACACAAGCCCTATTCAGATTTGATTTGAAATACTTTCTAATTTTTTGTATTTCTTTTCATTGAGAAGTGTACCAGGCAGACCAGGTACTGCTGCTGCTGTAGAGTGCCTGAGGGGAGCACGGTGCAGCCGCACATTTGAATGCAAAAGTCTGCCTTTAAAGGTGACCACTGTGTACACTGGGTGCTCTGGGTGACACCATGGCCGGGGACTCCCCTGAAGGTGACCACTGTGTACACAAGCTTTATACAGATTTTATTTTTAATACTTTGTCATTTTTGATATTTCTTTTCACTGAGAAGTGTCCCAGGCAGACCATGCACTGCTGTGTGTGTGGAGTGCCTGAGGGGAGCCCGTTGCAGCTGCACAGTGGAGATGACGTAATGCGGCGCTCATTGCTCAGCTCCGATTTGACGCAGCTCTGGGAACAAATAGACGGCGGTATTTTCCTGCCTATGACATAATGCTCATCTGGGCTCTGGCACATACGCACACGGTGCATCCCTTCCCAGGGAAATCTTCATGGTCGTCCTTCCTCCCTGCTCCTCCTACCATTCTGCTGTGCAGCATCTGTGGGTAGCGGCAGAGCTTCCCATGCTGGGGACATACAGAGGAGCTCGGTTAGAGGCTCGCCCATCACACACACCCCATTCCACTCACCCGGCCTGGGCTGCCCCCCTGCTCCGAGGCCTCACACTCGTGGGGTGAATGAGGTTGATGCTACTGTGCTGTAGCTGGAGTGAGGAACACATGGGAGAAGAGGAAGGTGAGGCGCTGGGACCGTCCGTACGTGCTGTGTGTGTGTGTGCGCATGGGGATTCTGATCACACATTGTGCTCTGTAATATTGCATGGCTGCATGTCTTCATTGCCTATTATTTACATTGCAGAGGACGATTCCTCCAATGGAAGTGGGTGCATGTGGTGGTGGTGCTGATGGGGGTCTACAGAGGATGCTGTTTACAGAGGCAGGACTGAAACAATAGGGATGACACTACAGTGACAGGGTATAAGGTATATAATCAGACCAGGACAGTTGTATGGCAAAGCTTTACCATGTTATTACAATTTCAATGGGGGGAGGGGGGTATCACAGCTGGAGAAGACAGGATCTGTAGTTGCCCAGAGCAGTCAATCAGCTTCTATCATCTGTTTGTTCAGTTAAGCTTTGGAAATGTAAGCCAGAAGCTGATTGGTTGCCATGGCCAACTCCAGATTCTATCTGCTCCAGTTGTGATAAATTCTCCCCCAGTGAACGTAAAGAGGAACTCCGGGCAGAAGAAAAGTTAACCCTTGCAGCGGGGCTACCCGAGCACTGCAAGGGTTAAAGTGCTTGTTTTGGTCTAGGGTCTATAATAGCAAAGACATACTCACCCAAACTTCGGAGCCGGCTGGCTATCTGATCCCTGCTCCCCTGGCGGCCGGAGATCACCCGTCTCCCCTCTGCTCAGACTTGAGGGCTATCCTTCAACATCCTCCTTTGGGCTCCGCATTAGACGTGATGATGTCAACTATGTGTCCTACCATGTGTCATGGTAGCCATGTGATTGTGTCACTCAGCCTCAAAGTTCGAGCCGACGTGTGACAATGAAACTGTCACACGTCGGCTCAATAGATCGGGAAGTGAGCGAACACATACCGTCGCTCGCTCACTTCTCGACCATCTCCCTGCAGAGAGCCGTGACTGTCACTCACGGCTCCCTGCAGGGATTCCCCACTCCGATCTTCCAGCGCTGACTGGAGGGGAGGGGGCAGGTACAGCTGGCTCTGCCTCTAGATAGGCAGAGCCTGCTGTCATTCACGCATTTGGGTGGATCTCGACAGTAATGGCGGGATCTGTCCCGGCTGTAGCTTGCGATATACTGAGCTTTGGGTCACGGGAGGATGTTAGTTTATGTCCTCCCGTGACCCTTAGGAGAACTATGGGGAAAAACACTTACCCCATAGTTATCCTTCAATGTGCACATATCGATTTCGAGCATAGGGAATGAAAACAAATTGAAGGAGAAGGGTGGAGAATTATTCTTGTTTGTTAGCTATACGAACATATAACGTTATCATAAATGGGATTTTTGAATAGAGAAAATTGAATATTACTGTATTGCACATCAGCCTGCAAAAGTTTTATCCGGAACTAGAACGTCCGTTTGTACGGAGATTCTTTCTCATGATTTGGGGATGTGTGACAGAGCTGCAAGGACCTTCATTACAGGATCACCACATATTATTAAAGAACTCCGGGTAAATCAAATCCTAACCCTTGCAGTGCTAGGGTAGCCCCAATGCAAGGGTTAGGATTTGACTTGCTCAGAGTTCTTCCTTAAAAATATTGAGATGATTTTTTGTTAAAGGAGAACAATGGGGTTAAGGCTTTTCCCCATAGTTCTCCTTAGGGTAACGGGAGGACACGAACTAGCGTCCTCCCGTCACCCTAGGCTCAGTATACCGCGAGCTACAGACGCCACAGTATACCGCGAGCTACTGCTCGCGGTATACTGAGACGCCACAGCTGAAGCGGATCCCGACAATTGTGCCGGGATCCGCCCAGCTGCGTGAGTGACAGCTGGCTCTGCCTATCTATCCAGTCAGCGCTGGCGGATCGGAGCGGGGAGGGGGGAATCCAGCCCCTCCCCTGTCACGGCAGAGAGCCGCTAAAAAAAACGAAGTTCTACTCACCCAAACCACATTCCCAACTTGCTCTTAGACCGGTCCCCTCTGCCTGTCTCCTCCTCCGCTCCAGCATCAGAAAGTCCCTCGGCATCCTCATGTCCTATATACACTGTATAGAATGTGATGACTCACAGGACCTTAGACCTCTGGAATGGAGGGGGATTGAGGCTGAAGGGAGCACTCTAAAGGTGGCCATACACTTTACAACCCTGCAAGACTTTTGTCTTGCGAGGGTTGTAAAGTAATTAAAAAAACATACGATCTGCCCATCTTGGACAGGCAGATCGTACTTGCGATCATTGCAAGCCCGCCCCCCTGAGGGGCGGGCTTCCGATGACTGCAATGGGAGACGGGCTTTCGATGACTGCAAACGGGCAGTGTGCGTGTGCGCACACCGGCCCGTTCGGTAGTTGCCGAACAAGCAGGCCACTAACTCGCCGAGAATCGTACGATTCCCGGCGGGTTTTCCAGCCTGCTTGTTCGACGAAAGACGGGCGACCGTACAGTAGAAACGGTCGCACGCCTTCCATACACTTTGTGATTATCGTACGATCATCGTGCAGTGTATGGGCACCTTAAGAGCAAGCTGGGATCGAGGTTCAGATGAGCATAACTTTCTTTATTAGCTCCGTGGGCAAAATGAGTACTTAACCCTTGCAGTGCCAGGGTAGCCCCACTGCACGGGTTAGGGTTTGATTTGCCTGGAGTTCTTAAAATATATTTTTTTAAGCCCAACTCCAGGCACAGTAGCGTTACTAGTGTTAAAGCTGTTAAAGCCTCAGACCGTCTCCCGTGAATAACGCTATCATCCATACACACAAATCTTCTTGTTTACATGCGGATGAAAGTGCAGGTCCCGCTGTACTTCTGTGCCCACTCGGATGTAATTACTAGACCTTAGTCACATCTTCGCCCCCTCTCCTGGTCATTCACAAAACATCCACAGCCTGGCTTCATTTTGTGAATGGTCAGGAGGAGATGGAGGCAGAGATGTATCCGTAGCATTGTAGTCTATGAGACCTGCAGCTCTTGCATCCAAGTCTGGGGGGATCTGTACTTCTACCAGCATGTAAACAAGATTTGTGGGATTGAGAAGATGGCATTAATCATGAGAGGCAGCTTTTTGGTAAGCAGAGTCTTCAACAGCTTTAACACAAGCAAGTTCCTTGTGCCTGGAGTTGGACTTAAAAAAAAGTAATCTTAGTACTTTTTAATTCTGCAACTTTCAATAAAATAGTATCTGGTGATCATGTGATGAAGGTCCTTGTTCAGGCACTTCCTGTTACACCAGGGGTGGGCATCTCCGGCCCTCCAGCTGTGCTTTAACTACAAATACTACATGCATCTGCCTCTGGGAGCCATGCCTGGAAGTGTCAGTCTTGCAATGCATTATGGGACTTGTAGTTCCGCAACAGTTGGAGGGCCGGAGTTGCCCACCCCTGTGTTACATAGTGTTCTGTCCCTGTCCCCCAACTGTATTTCTGTGCTGTCAACTTGTCAAACATGGTCAGGAAAAGGCCATACAAGTGACCTTTTAAATACAAGCAGACATGGTCCACTGCTGTCACCATCAGGAATCCTGCCCAGAGAAATGCCATGCAGTTACCGCATGTAGACACAAAGTGGCTGCAGGAGATCAGCAACACCAAGATGCATCATAAGATGAAAAAAATGTTGAAACGCTAGTATTTTATTAAAAAGCAGGCAATTGTTTATGATACACATTACTGTATAAAACAAAATGGCATGCTTTACATCTATATTAAGGGCCCGTTCACACCAATGTCATGCATTAAACGCATGGTTCCATGCAACGCACACTATTGCTGTACCCCGTGTTTCAGCAAAGCACATTGCAGTCAGGAGGTGCGTTTGTGGTGTCATTCAAATGAATGGCAACGCAATGCACCTGCTGCACTGTAACACGCGGTAGGTGCTTTGCGTGGTACCGTTCGTTAATCACATAGAACCGTGCGATTACTGCACGGCATTGGTGTGAACGGGTCCTAAATGTTGGCTGCATGCTGAGTGCGTGGCAGCGGGATGTAGTGAATACTGTGCAGACGTACCTACCACTCAATGCTAGGACATACTTTGATTAGTGCAGGTATGATGGATTTGCTGTGGCAGATATTATGTGCTCCGGGTACTGGAAATATGAAACTGTTGTAGTGTTTACTGCTGAGAGTTATAGGTGGAGGTTAAGTGGACAGTGACCGATGATCAGGCTGAAGGTATAAGGAAAAGAGGTAGAAAAACAATGTGGGCAGATGAGAGTACAGAGGAGTACATAGTTAGTACAGAAGGAATACATAGAATGTGCAATGTTATACTGTATAGCGGGTGATGAGATATTATTCAGTGTTATGCTGGCACGGGGCAGGTAAATGGTACTATAGTTAAACGTGATTGCTGGGACTGATGCAGAAGATGGAGAGAGATTATTATTATTATTACATTATATTTATATAGTGCCAACAGTTTGCGCAGCGCTTTACAATATAAGGAAGAAATTACAATCACAATACAATTTAAGACAAGATGGTAAGGAGGGCCCTGCCCCTGAGGGCTTACAATCTAAAAGGGGAGGGGTAAGTGATACATGAGGAGGTAGCTGTGTGGGGATGAATTGTTTGAGAATGTGACAGTTCAGTGGTTAGGTTGAGGTGGGATAGATGACAGTGGTTAGGTTGAGGTGGGAGAGATGGCAAGCTATCTTTTCAGTTTTCATTTGAATAATTGTCAGATGTTTAGATACTCATTGACCTTTAAGACAGATTTAGTAATAACTGAGAAAGTGGAAATGTTCAAACAAAGTTTACAGATACATGGAATAACCTCAATATATATATGTATGTATGTGAGTATGTATATTATTATTGATTGAAATTATAATTGAAGTTTACACTATTACACAGGAGAGTGAAGCCATGGACTGCAACAGTAACTATGGGTCATAATAAAATTAAAGGTCTGTGGAAATTATTGCAAATGGTGCTATGGAATATGACAACAGAGATAGTGACTGGCTGGCACAGGCGGCTGTATTGGTGCAGTGGATGGTTGCTGTGGGTGATGGGTACAGATTTTGGTGACA